CGATTTGTAACTAGGGTCAAACTGCAGCCGCGTTGGTGCTCCTCTCTGAGCTCGGTTGTTTTCTCGCAAACGTTTCACGACCCAACTAGATAACGTCAGCAGTGCTGGAGGGGAATGGGGTTTGTGGAGTGGAAGAGAAGGAGAAGTGGTGGGGAGGCAAAGGAGGAGGATTGTGAGATGCCTGCTGCTCTCTGAGCTTGGCTGTTGTGTTTTGGCAGACGTTTCATGATGCAACTAGGTAGAAGGGAGTAGGGCTTTGGGAGCGGAAGAGGAGAAGGGAAGATTGTGGGTGCTCTCTGATCTCGGTTGTTTTCTTGCAGGCGTTTCATTACCCAACTAAGTAACATCAGTGCTCAAAGGGAATGGGGTCTGTGTTTATACACCTGTGGCAAGGCAAACCGCTGAAAACATCTGCAAGAAAACAAACAACCTCAGGGAGCATCTGCCTATGCAAAGACAGGCATGTTTAATGAAATGAGAGTTCCGTTATTTTGGTGATCTCTTGACGTGAACTACGGACATTGATTGGAAAACCTGCGGAGTGCATTGCAGGAAACTGCGTGTTTTCAAATGCCAGCTCACATCACAGAAATGTTACGACTTTTTGGCATGTAAGTGTCCTTCCTCCAGTTCTCCGTATGCCTCTGCAGTCCACTTTTTTGTCAGGCGTATTGTAAATCTTGTTTCAAAGAACTGCGAAGAGGCACAGCGTAAGAACGGAGTGTACAAAGGTGTCGGATCCATTTGTTGTGTGTACAAAGGTGTCGGATCCATTTCATCCGGTACTTCAGGGAAGAGTTGTACTTTCTTGTCAGAAAAGTGAATCTAGAGTGCCTGTCAGAGTGGGCTGGAAGACCACTTGAAAAGAACTATTCTGAGTCTAGACCAGTGGTTCTCCACCTGTGGGTTGGGACCCCATTTGGGGTCGAACGACCATTTCACGGGAGTCGCCAAACAATGCAGTCCGCCATTTTCCCCCCCTTTTCCTTAGCTGTGCTCCTCCCTTTTATTCTATTGGCTTTTGAAAGCCAGTAGAATAGACTCTCTTGAATAGAGTCTAATTCTATTGGCTTTCAAAAGCCAATAGGAATTGTCCAGGCTGTCTCTGCCCTGCTAAGTCCGCCAAAAGTCCCATTCTGCAAACGGAGCTGCACCAGTTGAGTAGTCCTCGACTTACGACCGGTTGGGGGGGGGGTCGCGGCGTTAAAAAAGTTGAGAACCACTGGTCTAGACATATCCTCTCAGTAATCCTGCAGGCAGATCAGCATAATTACCGCTTACTCTGAGTGGAGGGCCTAAACCTTAAAGCATAGTCTTACACCATTTCTTTTTTAAAATGAAACCATACTGACTTGTATTCGTTTGTGAAACATAACGGATTATACGGTATCCATTCACCAGATTTGTTTTCCTTCAACGACTCAACTACGGGTAGTCCTTGACTTACAACAGTTTGTTTAGTGGCCATTTGAAGTTACCACAGCACTGAAAAGAGTGACTTGGAACCATTTTTCACACTTAGGACTGTTGCAGCCTGGTCTCGAGGTCACGTGATCAAAATTCGGACACTGGGCGACTGACTCATATTTATGACGGTCGCAGTGTCCTGGGGTCACGTGGTCCCCTTTTGCAATCTTCTGACCAGCAGAAGCCAATGCGGACGCCAGATTCACATAACAACCGCCTTACTAACTTAACAACTGCTGCGATTCACTTAATAACTCTGGCAAGGAAGGTCGTAAAATGGGGCAAAACTCACTTAACAAATGTCTCACTTAAAAACAGGTTTTTGGCTCAATTGTGGTCATAAAGGACTAGCTACATATGCTATTATGTCCTCTAGTTTTTCCCCTTAGTAACCCTGTGAAATGTGCTGGTCTTTGAGAAAGTGACTTGTCCCAATCTGGGTCTCTCCACTCTCATTAATCACAACATCACACTAGCGGGCGGAGGTGACTGTGCACAGGATGCTCCTGGCTCCCTGAATTAGTGCGCAGTGAGTTTTGTATCCTGATACTGTGGTATAATGCATTGGCTCCAGTTTCTGTTTGTGAAAATCGCTGCTGTTTTTGCTGATGCAGGTTACTTCGAAGGCCAGGTTTTTTTTCCAAGAGTGGGAGAATCCGAAAGAAATGTGGGGGGATATTTTATTTATCAAATTTAGTTACCGCCCATTTCGATCTTGGAGTGACCGTGCCCATTGACTCAGTCAGTCTATTTCAGTTTGTTTGTGGTGGTCTTCCCCTGCCCTGCCATGACACACCTACTCTGTGTCACCTGGAACAGCTTCCCCTGCTGACCCAGTATGTGTGTGCTTTGTGTTGTGAGTTTGCTATGGCATGCCTTGGTTACTGTGTTACAATTTATTTTTAATTCTGTGGGTTTTGTTTGTTTGTTTATATTATATGGTTTTATTATGTAATATTTATTACATTTTGTTTTATTATATTGTTTTCTTGTAGATTGTTGTTAGCAATCCCCCTAGAGATGCATAAGGTCATCCTCAATTTACAACCATTTATTGGTTGAATCGACACATGGCGCAAAGCATAACATGATTGTTCTGAATTCCCTGGGGTTAGCATGAATCCAGAGGTTGTACAGGTAGTCCCTGACTTACGACCACAATGGAGCCCAGAATTTCTGTCGCTAAGTGAGACAATTGTGAGTTTTGCCCCATCTTACGACATTTCTTGCTACAGTTCTTAAGGGAATCACTGCAGTTGTTAAGTTAGTGACACAGTTGAGTAGTGAATCTGGCTTCCCCCGTTGACTTTGCTTGTCAGAAAGTTGCAGAAGGGGACCACGTGGCCCCAGGACACTGCGACCGTCATAAATATGAGTCAGTTGCCAAGCGTCTGAATTTTGATCATGTGACCCTGGGGAGGCGGAAGTGGTCATAACTCACCTTTTTTTTCAGCTGTTGTAACTTCCAGTGGCCCCTATATTAATGGTTTAAGTTGAGAATTACCTATAGTTGTTTCTTTATTCATTGCATTTTTATCCTGCCTTTTTGCTCATAGTTTACGGCCGTACCCAGGGAGGTTCCCCCTAATTTTATTCCTCCACAGGAGTCCTGCGAACTAGTTTGGGCTGAATCATTCTGTGATCTTCCATACCTTAGATTGGCCTTGATTTTACTCCTTGTTGTTCAGTGGCTGAGTCGCATCCGACTCTTCAGAACCCTATGGGGTCCCCATGTCCTCCACTGCCTTACGGAGTTTGTCCAAATTCAGGTTTGTTGTGTCGATGACACTATCCAATACTGGTCCTATGTCAGTGCAATATTCCATTCCCAATAGTCAATTGTGATCAGATAAAAATTGTGGATAGCTCATCAAACCATGATTAAACATGACGTACCACGAGGTGTGAATACATATCTAATGTATGTTGGCTTTTTACAAGTGGCTTTCTGAGATTCTGGAGCAGTTATAAGGCGATGAGCCTGGGACTTTATGCAAAGTGAAGTCAACCGTTCGTTTAGTGACCGTTCGAAGTTACAACAACACTGAACAAAATGACTTACGACCATTTTCACTGCAGCATCCCCCTGGCCACATGATTTACACTGGGATACTTGGCAGCCAGTTCGTATTTATGGCGGTTGCAGTGCCCTGGGATCCCCTTTTGCGACCTTATAACAAGCAAAGTCAACAGGGAATCCATTTCCACTTAACCACTGTCTTACTTAACAACTGCCTTGATTCACTTAACAACTGTGGCCAGAAGTTATAAAATGGGGCAAAACTCACTTAACACGATTCCTCGCTCAGCAACATACTTGTTGGGCTCAGTTGCGTATTTCCTAAAGCCGTTGCTGAACTTTCCAATTCCTTGATATGGGAGAAGATCGTCTTCCTTACTGACAATCTTCCTGTTTTTTTTTTTCCTTCTTGTCTCCTCTCCTCGTCTCTTCCTTCTTTCCTAGTTAGGATCTTCAGATCAGTGGTTCTCAACCTTTCTAATGCCGTGACCCCATAATACAGTTCCCCATGTTGTGACCCCCAAATGGGTGTGGCCACCAATAAGAGGGAGTAGGACAGCTAGGGAAAAGGGAAAAAATGGCGGACAGCGTGGTTTGGCGACCCCCGTGAAATGGTCATTCGACCCCAAATGGGGTCCCGACCCACAGGTGGAGAACCACTGGTTCAGATATTCAGTCACCTTTTTGGTAGAGGCAGTCCTTGACTTACGACCCGTAACTGAGCGCCTAATTACAGTCATAGGTCCTGATGGTTGTGACCGTGACTGATTTTTATGACCTTTCATGTGGCAGTTGTAAAGTGAATGCTGTGGTCGTTAAGTATAACCATTGTTCGCTACGGGGCATTTTTTTTTTATCGGAAACTGGAAATAGATAACAATTTTCAGCAAAAGCATAAACCACACTCTTGTAACCGCAGGACACCGCGAACAGCTGTAAATGTCAGCCAGTTGCCAAGTGCCCAAAATGTGGTCACATGATTGTGGGGAGGAGGCAGCTTTTGGAACTTGAAATCGGGGCATTAGTACCTTTTCCTGGGTCTGTCGTAACTTTGAATGGTCGCTAAGCGACCGGTTATAAGTCAAGGACTTGTGTTGAAGGCTTCTGGAATGGCAGTGATTCCTCTGCTCAGATCAGATGCTGTTTGCAAATAGCTTTTATATGTGGTGACTTTTCTGGAAGAACAGACAAGGACCTTCAAAGGTGTTGTGTGAATGTGGCCTGGAGTGTTTGCTGTCACAGCTGTCACACGTGGGGAATTTATAGGCCCAGAACGCAGTTGGAATCTGCTCCCGGTATGCCATGTGCGCAAAAACCAGCAGGCAGGTCCATGGCCTGGAATTCTTGCTAGCATTATTTCAATCAAAAAAATCCATTTTGAAGAAAACCTTTTTTTTTTTTCTGCTCCCGGCCTCTCCCCCCCCCCCCAAGTATTTTTAAGCATACTCCTTAAGCACTTTTGGCACTAAAAGAGCCGTCCCTGGCCAAGAAATGTACTTTAGCACGTCGGTTGGGCCTGGATCCAAGAAAAATTGTAATAAAAGGATCGTATTTTAATTGCATTCGAAATGCTTCCTCGTAGAACGGTTGGGATTTCTCTTTTAAGTTCTCCTGACCCACTTGGTTGCTTCTTCCGTTACGTGAGTGTCTGAAGCTTTGGAGGAGCTTTCCTCAGAGTCATACAAGCCCCCCCCCAACAAGGCCAGGGGGACAGAAGACATGACAGCAGTAGAGATAATTGTGGGACCCCTGGGTGCTCCCTGAGCTGGGTGGCTTCGTGCAGACGTTTCATAACCCAACTAGATAACAACATCAGCAGTGCTGGAAGGGAAGAAGGACTGTGGGATCCGTGATGCTCTCTGAGCTGTTTTTTTTTTTGCAGATGTTTCATTACCTAACTAAGGAGCGTCAGTCCTACTGAGCGGGTGGATTGCTCCCTGCTAGAAGAGAGAGGGGCGTGGAGGAGGAGGGGGAGGAGGAGCACGACAACGACTGTGGGTCCTTGATGCTCTTTGAGCCTGGTTGTTTCCTTGCAGACATTTCATTGCCAAGCTAGATAACTTCAACCGTGCTAAACAGAGAACAAACCCTACTCCCTTCGAGCACTGATGATGTTACCTAGTTGGGTCATGAAATGTCTGCAAGAAAACAAGCTCAGAGAATAGCAAGAACCCCACAGCCCTCCTCCTCCCCACCACACCCCACTCTCTTCTAGCACTGATGATGTTTCCTATTTGGGTCATGAAACGTCCGCGAGAAAACCACCGAGCTCAGTCAGCAGCCAAGGACCCCCCATTCAGCCCAGAGTTACCGATATCCCCTTCTGGGGAGAATAGTTTGGGGCCTTCGGAGGAAGTGAAGTGAATCCACCGGCTGCACTGAACGCCAGTTGGCTTCTGTAAGGCTTTCCAGGGCTTGCTTAGGGTAAGAGGCTCACTTTCCTCCAGTTGCTCTCGTCGGCTGAAAGTCTGCCTGGGCTGGGTTGCCATCGGTCCCATCAGGGAAGCCATCTTGTGGTGGCTCTGCGCAGATGTCTTCAAGAACAGCTTCAGGCTCAGAGAGCCCCAAGGACCCCACAGTCCTCCTCCTCGCAAACCTCACCATCCCTTCTAACACCAATGAGGTTACCTAGTTTTTTTAATTTAATTTTATTTTTATTTATGAGACTTACAGACCGCTTTAAGTGCGAGCACTCTCTAAGCCAGTGGTTCTCCACCTGTGGGTCGGGACCCCATTTGGGGTCGAACGACCATTTCACGGGGGTCGCCAAACAAGGCTGTCTGCCATTTTTTTCCCCTGTTCTTTGGCCACGCCCCTGGCACCCGTTGATGTATAAGTGGTTGGGGGTCACCACAACAGGGGGAACTGTATTATGGGGTCGCGGCATTAGAAAGGTGGAGAACCACTGCTCTAAGCGGTATACACCAGTAAGCAATGTATATATATATATATATATATATATATATTTACATTGCCCCCAACCATCTGGGTCCTCATAGTTGTGTCATGAAACATCTGCAAGAAAGCCGCCAGGCTCAGAGAGCCCCCAGGACCCCGCAGACTGAGTCACTAGGCAAAACCCTTCAGCGCAGCTGGCGGTCTCCTCTAACCTATGCCTGCCCAGCCCAGACCGCAGCCTGAAGGGCCCTCCAGGGCTCGCAGCTCTGAACCCGACGCACTATTTTCTCTTTCAGCGGCCCAGGTGAAGGAGACCCGCCATCTGCCCCCTTCCCCTGGATGCTGGGCGGCCGGGGCCGTTTCTCGCAGTCGCACAAGATGGGGGCCTTGAAACGGAGCCCCCAGCAAGCCTGGCCGGAGGAGGAGGGTGACCGGGAACACGGCCTCTACAGCTTGCACCGCATGTTTGACATTGTGGGCACCCACCTGACTCACCGCGATGTCCGGGTGCTGTCTTTTCTCTTCGTGGACGTCATCGACGACTACGAGCGGGGCATGATCCGCAGCGGGCGGGACTTCCTCCTGGCGCTGGAGCGACAGGGCCGCTGCGACGAGACCAACTTCCGCCAGGTGCTGCAGCTGTTGAGGATCATCACCCGCCACGACTTGTTGCCCTACGTCACTTTGAAGAGGAGGAAGGCTGGTAGGTGGCCTCCCGCTTGGCTTTCTGAGGGGAGGGGGGCCGTAGAGCATCTCCGTTCGTCTGCGGACCTATGCAGGGAGTCCTCGTCTTACGACCACCAGCATTTCCTGTGCTAAGCAGGAGGGTTATTAAGTGAGTTGCGCCTGATTTTACGAATTGTTTAATCATAGTTGTTAAGCAAATCCCTGAAGTTGTTATGTGAATCACAGGGTCATTAAGCAAATCGGCCTTTCCCCTTGGGCTTTGCTTGTCAAGAAGCCGGCTGGGAAGGTCAGTCAGATGACCCCAGAGGTCCTAAATACAGGCTGGTTGCCAACTGTCCAAATTTTGATCGTGTAACTGTGGAGACGTTGCGACGGTCGTCACTTTTTTCAATGCTGTTGTAAGTTTGAATTGGAACCGTTGCTAAACGAATAGTTATATGTGGAGGACTACCTGTCCACAATTGCCCAAAGTGGCTGGGGAATTCTGGGAATTGAAGTCCACAGATCTCATAGTGGCCAAGCTTGGGAAACCCTAGCCCTCAGCCATTCGTGAAGGTTCCAGAAGTTTTGCTCAGCTGGACCTTGCAAACGAATGCCTGCGTGCAGCCACGGGAAAGGCCTCGTGCAACTTGTGCAGCGACCTTTTTGCGTTATTTCACTGTTCTAGACAAGACACCTGTCTGACCCATCCATCCTGCTGCTTCTAAAAAACAAAAAAAAGTGAGGCTTGCTCTGCTGCCTTCATCCCGTGCTTGTCTGCATGGCTGGATGGAGTTTTCTCAGCTCTGGTTCTGCCTAATAGATATTTAGTCCGTTTTTGCCATTTAAAGCTGGGATAAAATGAAAACAGGAAAGGAAAACCCGGAGCGCCTCTGGTGGATTGGGCCTTTCCCAGCAGGCCCCTGTCTTCAGGCAAGGCGCTGGAGGCGCCCATCGGCATCCGATCTTCTTAAGAACTATAATTTAAAACTCCCTTTTCTCTTCTTGGGTAGAAACCTCAGGATGGTATCATGTATGTCTGTGTCCAGGCAGTCCTCATCTTACAACAGTTCATTTAGTGACCGTTCCAAGTTACAGCGGCCCTGAAAAAAGTGAATTAGGACCGCTTTTCACACGACCATTACAACATGTGATCAACATTCAGACACTTGACAACTGATTCATTTTTATGACGGTCGCAGCATCCTGGGATCACGTGATCCCCTTAGGTCAGTGTTTCCCAAACTTGACAATTTTAAGGCATGAGGACTTCAATTCCCGAATTCCACAGCCAGCAACGCTGGCTGTGGAATTCTGGGAGTTGAAGTCCACATGCCTTAAAATTGTCAAGTTTGGGAAACACTGCCTTAGGTGACCCTTCTGGCAAGCAGAGTGAATGGGGAAGTCAGATTCACTTAACAACCGTGTCACTAACTTAACAACGGCAGTGATTCGCTTAACAATTGTAGCAGGAAAGGTTTTAAACTTGGGGCAAAATTCACTTTAACCAATTTTTCTCTTAGCAACAGACATGTTGGGCTCAGTTGTGGTCGTATGTCAAGGACTACCTATACTTCAAATTATTTTGTCGTTGTTGTTGACATTTTGTCTTTCACACGTTTTCCTTTATTCCCTTCTCAGTATGTCCGGATCTTGTAGATAAGTATCTCGAGGAGACTTCAATTCGCTATGTGACACCCCGAGCCCATAGCAATACGGAGCATGTTCCTGTGCACCAACAAAAATCTGGTGAGATTTCATACGTGTCTCCGCCTTCGAAAGCTGCGTCTCCGGATGCTGTAATGTTTGTACACTTTGCTCTGGCCTCTGGGCTTGAGTGGTGGGCCCCAGAAGTTTGAGACTCTGAAAAGAGTGCAGAGAGGAGCAAGAAAGATGATAAAAAGAAACGAAGGACGGTTGCAAGAATTGGGTATGTCTGGTCTAGTGCAGTGGTTCTCCACCTGTGGGTCGGGACCCCATTTGGGGTCGAACGACCATTTCACGGGGGTCGCCAAACAACGCAGTCCGCCATTTTTTACCCCCTTTTCCTTAGCTGTACTACTCCCTTTTATTCTCTTGGCTTTTGAAAGCCTAGACTCTCTTGAATAGAGTCTAATTCTATTGGCTTTCCAAAGCCAATAGGAATTGTCCAGGCGGTCTCTGCCCTGCTGAGCCCGCCAAAAGTCCTATTCTGCAAACGGTGCTGCACCAATCGAGTAGTCCTCGACTTACGACCGGTTGGGGGGGGTCACGGCATTAAAAAGGTGGAGAACCACTGGTCTAGTGGAAAGAAGGACCAGGGAGGACATGATAACAGTCTACCAGTATTTGAGGGGCTGCCACAGAGAAGGGGGGGGGGTGTCAAAGCACCAGAAGGCAGGACGTGAAGCAACGGGTGGAAACTAGTGGAAATTAGTGGAAACTAATCAAGCAACCTAGGAGACATTTCTTGACAATGAGAATAGTTAAGCAGAGACGAAAGGCTTCCCTCCAGGAGCTGTGGGTGCTCCATCACTGGAGCTTTCTAACGAGAGACTGGACAGCCACATGTCTGGAATGGTACAGGGTTTCCTGCTTGAACAGGGGCTGGACTAGATGACCTCCAAGGTCCCTTCCAACTCTGTTACTGTTTATGGTTAGATTTTGTCTCCCTCGAGGGTATTTGATTTGTATACCATTAAATGAATGGTTATAAATTGAGCATTCACCTGTAGTTAAAATTTTGCGGTAGGACAGGTATTGCATCCAGCCAACTACGCTGCCTATATTTGCCTGTTCTGCTCGAGTTTTTTTTTTTGAAGATCTTGAATGTGAAGGTGAGGCTTCCAGTGGCGAGCCCTGAGGCCCAAATTCCACTGCCTCTTGATCGCCTTAATCTACGTAACACAAAATCTAGGATGCTAACTTGCAGTATATTATTACTTAATAATAAATGGGGGGGGGGCTTTAACCGGGTTGCGTGCTACAGCGATCCCCTGTGGTTGTAGTAATCGGTTGGTTGTTTCTGAGACGTTTCTGACGTAGGGCAGTGTCGTCCGTTTTCATAGCTCAGGTTGATAAAGTTGTGTGGGCAGACGTCGTCCTCTTTCCTCGTCTCTGTCTATTAATAGGACTTAGATGAAACTCTGATTGTATTGTAGGTCACAGTATTAGAGGATTACAGGAGCCGTGAAGGGTTCACAGGCTTTCTGCCACTGCTACACACCACTCAGTCTCTCGTGGACCATTCTCTTGCAGGGGAAACACAAGCAAAGTATTCCTTTCGGCAAAAGAGGGAGAGAGAGAGAGAGGAGAAAGAGGGAGGGAGAGCAGAGAGAGAGAGGAGGGAGAGAGAGAGAGAGGGGAGGGGAGAGGATCAAGGGAGGGAGAGATAGAAAGATTAGAGAGGGAGGGGCGGAGAGAGAAAGAGAGCGGGAGGGAGAGAGAGGGATGGAGAGAGGGAGGAGGAGAGAGAGAGAGAAAAAGAGAAGGAGGGAGAGAGAGAAAGAGAGAGAGGGAGAGAGAGATAGAGAGGAGGGAGAGAGAGAGGGAGGGAGAGAGAGAGAAAAAAGAGAGGGAGGGCATGAGAGAGAAAGAGGGAGGGAGGGCGAGAGGAGCGGCGGCGAGGGAGAGAGAGAAAGAGAGGCGAGAGAGAAAGAGAGGGCGGGAGGTGCAGAGAGCGGGAAAAGAGGGAGAGAGAGAAAGAGAGAGGGAGGGAGAGAGAGGGCGGGAGGGAGAGAGAGAGAAAGAGGGAGAGAGAGAAAGAGAGAGAGGGAGGGAGAGAGGGCGGGAGGGAGAGAGAGAGAGAAAGAGGGAGAGAGAGAAAGAGAGAGAGGGAGGGAGAGAGAGGGCAGGAGGGAGAGAGAGAGAGAAAGAGGGAGGGAGGGAGGGAGAGAAAGAGGGAGGGAGGGAGGGAGGGAGAGAGAAAGAGAGGGAGGGAGGGAGAGAGGGAGGGAAGGAGAGGGAGAGAGAGCGCTCAATAAGAGGGAAAGGAATGGGAAGGAACAAAACTGGAGAGAGAGGATGAAGGAATAAGGTGACTGAACAGGGGAGAGAAACCCACCTTAAGTGTTACCATTGTGTGTGTGTGTGTGTGTGTGTGTGTGTGTGTGTGTGTGTGTGTGTGTTAAATTCTGGATGCAAGCAGGTCCTCCCCACCAGGCAACCACAGTCTCCAGGAAGGAGATCTGCAGCCCTTTGCAACTCCAGCCCAATTTATAGATAAACTATTCAGGGGTTAAAGATGCCGAGCTCGTCAGCTGACTTCACCCCCATTGCGTGGCACTCAGGCCTCAAGCCCCTTCTTGCCTCAGCTCCTGCCCTCCTAGCAGTTCGAAAGCATGCAAGTGCAAGTAGAGAAATAGGTAACAGAGTTCCGTGGGCCTTTGGCGTGTAGCCACGCTGGCCGGAGGGCCACGGAAATTGTCTTCGGGCAACGCTGGCTCTCTCGGCCAAGAAAGGGAGGCGAGCACCACATCCCAGACTCGGACACAACTTTACCTTTATTTGGGAAATAAAACCCCGGCTCCTCGTGGGTCAGCCTGGCCCATGTTGGGACAGACTCTGCACTAGGTCTCTGCGTCTGTTGCTGTTGTGACGCAGCTCTTTTATCTCCCGTGGATTCCTGAGATGCAAAGACCTCCCAGTCAAGTCTTTCGAAGAAGACGTTGTCGAAGGTGGCTGGGGATCATTGGTTTTGTGTTCCGGTGATAGTAGCTGCAAAATGGGGGCCCAAGAAGAGCACTCGCCACTGGAGGTGGCTGATGGAGTAAGAAGACCAAGCACGTCCCCATCCCATCTTGGTTTTGCTTTAGTGGGGTTCTTAATACTCTTTTAACCGTGCGGTTTTAATCTTTTAACTATGTTTTTTACTTGCTTTACCACTTGTAACCAAAAAGAATCACCTTGTAGGAGGCATGAGTGGCATAAAAATTTAATCAATAAAAATAAAAAAAGTGGGTGGAGGTGGTATTGAGAGGGGCTTCTTCCATGTTTGTTACAAATTAGATTGATCGGTTCTTCCACTTTCACGGGTGGGTGCTGCAGACTGAGACCAGCCCGACTGAAATGGGAATTTCTGCATGGGAATTTCTACCTGATAGCCTCCCCCCCCCCCAACACACACACACGGATCTTTCTTTTTGCAGTTCCTGGAGTTGCCTGCAACCTTTTAACCAGGTTTGAGAAGCACTATTTTAAGATTGCTGAGTCTTAGTGGGTGTCTTTCTTATTAATTTCACCCAGTGTGCTCAGCGAAAAACCTAGCATCCCCTTTTACACAACATGAACGAACCTGGCTAGTTTTGAATTTTTGGGGTTAGCATGTTGTACAGATCAAAGTCACTCCCCAAATCCTGAACTTGTGATCTGATCTAGTGCACAAACTTGCTAGAACAAGCAGTCCTTCACAACTGTCTTGTGTTCTTATTTATTTAATTAAAGGATTTGTATGGATATCTCTTAAAACACAGTCCTGGGGAGCTCACGACATCAATAAACACCCCCCCCCCAGACTATAAAACCCATAAAACGTAACTCAAAGCCCTGAATTGTCCCGCTTGAGCAGGGGGTTGGACTAGAAGACCTCCAAGGTCCTTTCCAACCTTTTGATTCTATGTTCTGCGTTCTACATTGCCAGCTGTCAGCAGCATATTTGCCAAACTGATTTCCTGTCATTTTTAGATAGGAAAGACATGCAAACTCTTATCGCAATGAGTGCCCCTTTTTTTAAAAAAAAAAAAAAAAAACAGCGTCCAGGACACTTGAGCAAATCTCCTCTTTGCCTCTGCGAATTGCAATGGTCCGTGAGAATGACCTCGGGAGACGCAGTATGGGGAAGCGGCATGTGAGGGTCTCTCAGCCTATAGGAATAAAGGGGCGTGGGGAGCGCTTCAGAAGAGACCTGCCTTGGTTTTCCAAAGAGTAAAAGGAAAGCAACAGAGGTCTTTCAGTCTTGCAAAATTCTGTTTACACAACCCAGTGTTTCTCAACCTCAACAACTTTAAGATGGGTGGACTTCAACTCCCAGAATTCCCCAGGCAGGTAGGGCTAGTACTCCTGGTGGCGCTTCTTGTCTGGACTACCTCGCAGGGCTAATGATACTATCCTGGTTCTGCAAGACCAGAGACTGGTCCCAAGCCACCCGACAGTTTCCATGCCTTTGGGAGAACTAGAATTCACCATCTCCCAGTCTCTCTCTCTTTCAGCACTAAACGGCTAAATCCAGCTGACTTTGCTTCATTTCTGTGTCACCCAAAGCCAGCCTAGTCTGGCCTTGAACTCTCCATCTTTGCGTCCCACAGTGCCTCCCCACCACCCGCTGGTCTGCTGCTCCTCTTCGGGCCCCCAGATCTGCACCAAGAGATCCGGCCGTGGAAGGGCACTGCTTGGGAATCAACGGAAAAGAAGGAAGTCCGTGACACCAGACCCGAAGGACAAACAGACCTGCGGTGAGGTTCCCGACAACTACCTTGTTTGCCTTTAAAAAAAAGACTTTATTAAGTTTCAACAAAAAAAAAGAGAAGCAAACAGAAAAAGCAAGAGATAGAAAAAAGAAAGGCAGGAAAGAAACACGGTTAAGAGTGTGAACAAGGAAAAGGAAGGACCAAATAGAAGGAATTTCTGATTTTCTTCCATTGAGATACAAATATAAACTATAAGTAGCCTGGTGAACGATAGTACGAAGTATTTCTATAATCGTAAACAGTTCTAGTCCCGCCTTAGGCACGAAAGCCAGCTGGGTGACTTTGGGCCAGTCCCTCTCGCTTGCCCCAACCTACCTCACAGGGTATATGTTTCCTAAATTTTTTGGATTGCTTACAAAGAATAAAGGGAGAACTGGAATAGCTATTTCGAGCTTCTTAACTCTCTTTAGCCAGACATACCCTTCTGAGATTCGAACCTGGGCTGTGTGCATGTTAGGCAGTTGTATTAACCTCTAGGCCACAGGCTCTTTCTCACTTTGTCAGCTGTATCAGGGAGGGAAGAGGAGATTTACCTTGAGTGTTTTTTTGATGCACCCTGTCGGCCCAAATATGGGAGGAAGAAATCTTTTGCCTGTATCAGCTAAATCTAGAGCCATCCATAAGCAGCAATTGCTACTGCGACATCATTTGTGTTTCCTAAATTTTTTGGATTGCTAACAAAGAATAAAGGGAGAACTGGAATAGCTATTTCGAGCTTCTTAACTCTCTTCAGCCAGACATACCCTTCTGAGATTCGAACCTGGGCTGTGTGCATGTTAGGCAGTTAGCAATCCAAAAAATTTAGGAAACACAAATGATGTAGCAGTAGCAATTGCTGCTTATGGATGGCTCTAGATTGAGCTGATACAGGCAAAAGATTTCTTCCTCCCATATTTGGGCCAACAGGGTGCATCAGAAAAACACTCAAGGTGTATGTGTATGTGTGTGTATGTATGTGTGTGTATATATATATATATATATATATATATATATATATATATATATATATATATATATATATATATATGTCTTTAATAATTTTGAATATAGGAATCCCAGGTATGGACATTTAAAGTCAATCAGATAAAAATAAAGAGCTCTGGGATGTAAGATAAAAGGCTTTTTTTTATTAACTGCTGAGCTTTCGTTAACAACCTGTTAACATCATCAGAGCAAAGGGCTAAATGAGAAGGGGGAGCATGTGCATAAATTTACATAACAGTTAAAAAACAGTTGAAGTGAGGCATGTGCACACATTGTGCCCAAGAAGCTCTTAAAGGCATAGAGCAGTCAGTCTCAAGACCATTTTAAAAGTCGCGCTTGTCAGCTGTTTGGCGCGTAGATCCAGCAAGCCTTTTTAGCCAGCCTCTTGGATTGTATAGTTTGTTTGGTGTAGGGTTGTTGTGTGTGTGTGTTTTGTTGGGTATGGTTATTTGGAATGTTTGTGTGTGTTCGTTTGTTATGCTTATTAGTTGTGGGTGGTTTTGTGGTGTTTGGGAATTGGGCTGTAATATTTTGTTCCATTGAATGTGATAAGTCATATTTCATTGTAGGGAGGAGTTTTGGTCTTGGTCTTAATATTCTGTTGTTACTTAGGTGTTGTGTGTGTATGTTTTGTTGTGTGTGAGTATCTTGTGAGGTTGCAGGATTTATGTTTTGGATGTTTGTGTCCTGGATGTTGTGGTCAGGGGGGTTGTTGTTTCTGTGTGTGAGAATATCAGAACATGGTGTGTTGGTTGTGTGAGTTGTCATGGTTGTGTTAGAATTATATTCTTTAGTTAGGTTTGATGAAAAGGATTGTGTTGTAGAAAGGATATCTATTGTGTTGGTTTGGGGTTTGATAAGTGGCTGGGGTGGTGTTTTTGTGTTATTATTGGTTGGGTTGAAGTGTTTAGGTACTTTATGTTTTTGTAAATGTCTTTTTAGGGTTTGGTAAGGAGGTAGTAGGTCTATGTGTCTATTAATAGAATGACAGTCTGAAAACCAAGCTTCTTTTAAAAGACGGCCTCCTTTGGTGGAATCATGAGCAATGACTTCTGCTCCTTTAAAGTTGAAAGTGTGGCCATGCTCAGCTATATGGGTCCAGACTTGGGAGCGCTGTTCTTGTCTTCTTACTGCCAAAACATGCTCATGTATTCTGGTCTTAAGTCTTTTTGATGTTTCTCCAATGTAGTTACATTGGCATGTGTTGCAGTTGATCTTGTATACGATGGAGGACAAATCACTGATTGGTAATGCTTCTTTGGGTTGCATCAACTGGGAACGTAACGTTTGGTTGGGTTTATGTGCTATGTTGATATTGTATGGGGCAAGGATCCTGGCGGTTGCTTCTGAGACTCCATTGATGTATGGGAGTGTTGCCCAAGTTGTATTCGTTGGAGCATTGTAGTTTGAGTGTGGTGTTTTATCTTTGCAGCAACGTTTTGGTGGGTAATTATTTTGTTTGCATATGCTGAGAAGGTATGCTTTCTCTTTAGATTTTGCTGTTTCTGTGCTGCAGTGGGTCTTGATTCTTTTGAATAAAGTTCTTAAACAGCTGATTTTATGCGATATAGGGTGATTGCTTTGGTAGTGGAGAATTCTATCAGTGTGAGTGGTTTTGCGATAGACGGTGGTTGATAGGTTGCCATCTGGAAGGCGATGGACCAAGACATCCAGGAAGGGTAAGGTGTTGTTGTCCTCCTCTTCTGCTGTAAATTGGATGTCTGGATGGAATGAATTCAGTTTCTGTAAGAATTTGGTGGTATCACATCGCTTAATGACTGCAAAGGTGTCGTCCACATACCTAACCCAAAAACTAGGTTGATAATCAGCCATGACAACACGTTCTAGATCCTGCAGTACTGCTTCAGCGATGATGCTTGAAATGGGTGACCCCATGGGTGTGCCCTTCACTTGTTCATAAGTTGTGTCTTTGTAAGTAAAATAAGTTTGAAGGCAGAAACCCAGTAATTGTATGTAGTCCTCTGTGCTAGGAGAATTGGGGTGTTGTATTTCTCCTTTTTGCAGAAGGTTTCTAAAAATAGAGATGGCTAGATTTTGGGGAATGGATGTGAAGAGGGATACTACATCAAATGAGATCATGATTTCATCGTCTCTAACCTTTAATGTACGTAATTTCATCAAAAAATCTTCAGAGGATTTCACCGTGGTTAGGGAGTCACTGATCAGGTGTTTGAGTTTTAAGCTTAACCACTTTGCTAGGCCATAGGTGGGTGTACCTCTGAAAGATACGATAGGTCTTAAAGGAACTCCTACCTTGTGGATTTTGGGGAGTCCATATATACGTGCCATGGCCGTGTCTCTGGGTCGGATGGATCTGTGGTCTTCGTCTTTTATTCTGTTTTGCCTCTTGAGTCTGTTTAAAGTGTTGTTAAGTCGGTTGGTGAGTGATGTCATAGGATCTTTGTTGGTGATGCGGTATGCAGTTTTGTCATTAAGTAGATCAAGGATTTTCTGGTCATAATCATGTTTATTTAAAATTACTGTAGATCTACCTTTATCAGCTGGGAGGATGATGATGGATTTGTCTTTTCTTAGATCCTCTAAAGCTCTGCTTTCAGATTTTGGTAACGTGTGGTATGTTCTGTGGTTGATAAGTAGTCCTGATATTCGTTGTCTGATGGTGTTTTTAATGTCTTCACTGCTTTCGATGCGGTGAATGATTGGTTCAAATGAAGCTGCGAAATCAAGGTGTTTGGCATCCTTAAGGTTGGTACCAGCATCACGTTGTAACAGTGAGGTTTGTTGACTGGTCAAGGTCCTAGATGAAAGGTTGTGTACCAATTTTTCAAGGACTTCTTTCTTGTTTGAGGTGATTAAGCTTTCAGTTTTTCTTTGAAGTATCTCTGTTTTGCGCGGTCGTGTTTTTTGGGTTGTGTGGTATATTAAGAGGTTGAGGATGTTGAAATGTTCTTGGGTGAGGATGGATCGGCATTGTTCACGATGGTGCTGGATTCTGGTAGTTTGGGCATCAATGCGTCTGTGATGGTGATTAATCATGGCACGCATGATGCGGCGTTGGAACTGCCAAACTGCTGCATAACCTTCTGGTGATTTAATTGGAGGCTTCTTGCATAAAGATTTTGGTGGGAGGTTGTTGTGGATGCAGTTATGTAAAAAAGCTAGTTGTTCATAGCTGGTAGTCTTGCGTTTGGATAAACTCTCCCAATATCTGGCTTGTTGTAATACTGCCCGTCCATATGTGTCTTTAATAATTTTGAATATAGGAATCCCAGGTATGGACATTTAAAGTCAATCAGATAAAAATAAAGAGCTCTGGGATGTAAGACAAAAGCCTTTTTTTTTATTAACTGCTGAGCTTTCGTTAACAACCTGTTAACATCATCAGAGCAAAGGGCTAAATGAGAAGGGGGAGCATGTGCATAAATTTACATAACTGTTAAAAAAAAAAAAAAAAAAAAAAAAAAAAAAAAACAGTTGAAGTGAGGCATGTGCACACATTGTGCCCAAGAAGCTCTTAAAGGCATAGAGCAGTCAGTCTCAAGACCATTTTAAAAGTCGCGCTGTGTCAGCTGTTTGGCGGTAGATCCAGCAAGCCTTATGACCAGAAATCCTTGATCTACTTAATGACAAAAACTGCATACCGCATCACCAACAAAGATCCTATGACATCACTCACCAACCGACTTACCAACACTTTAAACAGACTCAAGGACAAAACAGAATAAAAGACGAAGACCACAGATCCATCCGACCCAGAGACACGGCCATGGCACGTATATATGGACTCCCCAAAATCCACAAGGTATGAGTTCCTTTAAGACCTATCGTATCTTTCAGAGGTACACCCACCTATGGCCTAGCAAAGTGGTTAAGCTTAAAACTCAAACACCTGATCAGTGACTCCCTAACCACGGTGAAATCCTCTGAAGATTTTTTGATGAAATTACGTACATTAAAGGTTAGAGACGATGAAATCATGATCTCATTTGATGTAGTATCCCTCTTCACATCCATTCCCC